TCAGAGTACCTATTCACTTAGTACAAATTTACTTAAAAATAAAAATCATTATGAAGAGGCTTAATAAATACACATACAATAGTGAAAGACATTTCCTTTGTGATGGAAAAAGAAACCAAGTGAGATCTGGCACTTGTGGCAGCCTTCACTTTTCATTGCATGTCACCAACTCGTGACCCACAGCTACTTTCATATCACGACTCTAAACATACATGTTATCAGAATGACTAGGGGCAGACATTACACCGCATCTGGTGTCGTGTCCTACACCTCCTGCCCCATGCTGAGCCCCAGAGTAGTGCTACCCGCACAGCCACCCCAGGGCTGCACGCAGGGGGTGGTGGCCTTGCTCTCCTCCCAGCACGGGGCTGCAGCAGAGCAGAACCCCCGAGCACAAGCTCAGAGAAGGCCTCTTTATTGCTGTCAGGTCAACCCATTGCAAACACATTCCGATTCACCTTAAAAAATACTATGTAATACCAAAAAAAAAAAAGTGCTTAACAAGACCACATAAGTAAAGCAGATTGCAAAATACACCATGCTTAAAGACACTGATTCAATGTTTTATTTAATGTACTGCAATGAGTCCTCCATATTGATATGTTTAAAAAGTGTGATCCTTTTTAATGCTTGTTTTGGCATTAGCATTTCTTTTTCTTTTTCTGTTCAATTGATACCACCTACGCCTTCCAAGAGCCTACAAAAAGCGGGAGAGGATTGCAAATAAGTACAACCCCCCCCCAATTAGCACTAAAGTACTCTTGTAATCATGTAGTAAAAAAATGTATTCAAAAGATGAGCACTAGAACTGTAAAGTGCTAAACAAAATTATGGCTCAAGCTTCTCTAGGAAATAAAATAGACTGGACTGCAATTCACATTAAAATAAGGCTTATGTCAGAATGAGAAATAAAATCCCCCATCTCTTTCCTCTTGTCAACTTGAAAATCAAGGGCAACATCAAAGGTTTCAGCAGAGGAAAGCAAAAGCTAGTTAAGGAAAATCATGCAGAAGAAAGCCACCAAAACCCCTCCAAAATCTAAAACAAAACAAGCTTGCCCACCCCAACCACAGCCAAAAAAACAGTGAGAAGAAATCCTATAGTGCATCATTCTTCTCAAACAATTCATTCTCCTCTCTTTTAACCTAATTATTTTCTTCATCATTCCTAGATGTAAAACAAGTTTCCATCATAAATACTTTATTTTCAGAGGAACCAGAGGTTATTCCTCAGTTCTGCAATTCATAATTAGAATGGGATACAAGAGATATTCATGCTAACACTGAAGAAGCACTACGGAGAAACATGACCTGAGCTCTTCACTCTGCATGGTGCTGAGCAGCACACAGCCACTCCTTTAGTTTGGCATTAACATAGGGACCTTTAGCATTTGCTATAGATGTATACTGACTACAGTAAGTTCAAGCTCCTACAAACAGTTGTTCAACGCTAAAGCTGGAGCTATTTGGCACTTTTCATGGACAGATGAAGGAGTATCGGCTCCTGTAAAGCCTCTTTGAACCCTACAAGCACACGGTTAGGAACTTGGTACTGTCTTCTCAGAACAGGTGGCTGAAATGTTAAGAACAAAGAAGCCAATTATACGATCAATAGGACATTCTGTTAAGCTATCTAGCAACCTGCTGTGCTTTTTGCACATCAGTACGAAAAATACTGTCCACTCCAAGAACTGAGGTTGCTTGAGCACTGCGATGTAAGGGTGAAAACTCCTGTCAGTACAGAGGCTTTTAAAACAGCATTTGTCATTCTCAAAGAATGCCAAATACTAAAATACATCCAGAGAGCGCAAAGCATTTGTAGGTATCAAACGTTCTGCAAAGAAGCTGTACCAGCTTTTGTGGTCAAGTAATCTTCTCCTGGTTTTATTAAATGTGTCTGAAAAACACATAGTGATAGAAGGAAAAACAACAGTGAAGCCTAAGAATGCTGCACAAACCCAAACAGAAGGACAGAACTGAATATTAACTCCTACCTAATTCAGTTTGGTAAATCCCAGGGATGAAGTTAAGTATGAAACAAAACACGAGAGCGACTTCAGGAAAAAATGAAAGCTAATATTAAATCCTAATCATATTTATACCAGTATCACTGCTTATAATGCATAGATTACTTTCCACACCTGACCACAGCTAGAAATTCTCCAAATATGAATTTAGGAGAAGTAATTACTGGGTTTGCCCATAGTTTTTATTTAATAATTCAGGCATTTGAGTAGACCTTGCACCTTTTTCAGAATAAACACCTGCTGCTCTTCAGAGTAACAAGGGGCATGCACCTTCTTTCTTATACAGGCAAGGTAAGTTTTAATTCATAATCATAACCACAAAGCTGATCCCAACACTGATACAGCAGGAGGGTGTAAATTGAGCTTTAATTTAGAGATTGAACAAGACTGCCCCGTTCCAGTCGTCGCTCATAGAAGCCGAGAAAGCCAGCCTTTTAAAAATGCACCATTCAGAAGCTTTAGAGATGAAATCAAACAAAATATGCAAAGTGACAGAAGCAGAAAGAATTATAACTTTCGCTGTAGTGCATAGAAGGAAGTAGATAGAGGCTACAGCTGATTTTTTTTAAGCCCACTACTGCTGATAGAGCAGAAAACAGCCAATTTTAGTTTAAACATAATGAAATCCTTATTTGTAAGCTAACAAAGCTTAACCAAAGACAAGCGATAGGTGCATATTTTATAATGCACCAAACTGTCCTTAAAACTTAACTATTTTATTTCCCGAAAAAAACAAAACCAAGTTTACAAACATCGCATCTTCTGTATTATGATGGTGCTAATGAGATTACTGTGTACTTCACTGATGTGACAAAGTATGTGCAAGATCTGTAATTCCAGAATGCTGGTTTGGAAGGCAAAGTTAATCTCCTTTAAAAAAAAAAACATCAAGAAACATAAGTAAAGGCTCAAGAACAACTGTTTCTCTTGACTACTCAAGTATTTGTGTCTCAGCATTCCACAAGTCTGTAAGGGTCCCTTATGAAAAAACTTAATAATGTTTTGATAAATTTTGACTTTTCACTATCAAGATAATCATCTCTTACACAGAAAATAACCAGAGTATAGAGAAACAGCTCTTCTTTCAGCATAAGGAGAGGGCAAAGACCCGCTGTTCTACATGAGCATTTCTGAACTTCTAGAGAACAAAATTTAAGAGCATTGTCCACAAAATGACATATGAAAAAAAAAAAAGGGGGGGGGGGGGGGGGGAGAGAA